ATAAAGTACAAGAAGTTAAAATTTGAGCTCTGGTATCTTTAAACATTATTTCCCCTTTATGAGAGAGTTAGTAGTAAATTTTTTATGCAATAATATTGGTGTATAGATTGACTGTTCGTGGTTATCTTCTAAAAAATTATGTCCGTTGTGAATCAGTATTTTCTGGTTAGCTTTTGAAGCAAGACTTATGCTATCCTCCCCACTATTGGTCCGACATAGGTAATAATTGGAACATTTAATACAACTACAAAAAAAAAAAAAAAAGTATTTTTTTATACACAAAAATGATATTCTAGAATTGAGTAGGTCATACTTGTTATAACCATATAATCATGTTTATTAAATAATCATGCATGGAATCAATACCAAAAGTCTTTCACTTACATGATTCTTCTATAAATTTTTTTTGTTTGGCATATGATCAACTCCTAAAGGAATAAATAAATCTGGAAAGTGTGATTAGTTATTTAATGAAATTCACATTTAACCAATAAACCAAAACCTGATTTTTAATTATGGCTGCACACACAATAATCTATGGGAAAAAAACAACTCATAAATTATAAAAGGCATAGATATAATCCAAAAGGCTGCAAAAATTTTAAAGGGTAGAAAACAAAAATAATGGAGGCTGGACATTGTATTTTAAAAGCAAATTGCATGGAAAACCTTTTATTTTAAAAGCGATTGAGCAACAACTCTGTTACGGCTCTTTGAACCTCTGTTTCTTCACTTTTCCCTATTGTCCATTGTGCTATTTTAACGTAACGTTGAATATTTTGTGAAGAAAATTGAATCTTTTTTTTTTCTTTTATCATTCTTTCAGTCTAGAACAAACATTTTTTGTACTCAGGGTTTGTAATAATTCAATAATTTCTGCTTTATGTAAATATAGATAACATGTAAAAGTCTTGGAGAAAGAGCTAACCTTTTCATAAACTTTTATATATAGCACATGTTCTATAAATGTATCTTATATATATTTAGTAAATTAATTTTTTATTTAATATTATAAATTTAATTTTAAATTAATTAAAATTAATATATTTATATTTAAAATATATTTATAAAAATTACATAAAAATTATAAGTACGAAATTACACATATCTATTAAATATTTACAAAAATAAAAATGTGAATGAATTTAAAATACTTATTATATATGAATACAAAAATACATATAATATAAAGAATACGAAATGAAAATAAAAAATATTCTATCTATTCCATGCCTTTCTGATTGATATGCCTATTTTTTTCTATAAATGGATGACTGATTGGGGTTGGAAATTTTGAAGAATTCATTTAGTCAGTTGGAGTAGTGTATAAGAACTACTAGTATCTTATAATTATTCTCTTAATAGTTCTCTTACCTTTTTTTACAGGTTTTTCTTGAGAAAATTAGTGCATCAGCCTATCATTCTCTTCATTCCAAGTCTAAGCAGCAATCTCCCTCCAGGGCCAATCAACTTTAAATCTACCTTTGCCTGCAGGAGGGAAGAACAACAAACAGGCAGATCACGTTGGGGAGTTTGCAATACACACTCGGCCTACTTCAGTTATGTTAGAACATCAAAGTCTATTGCATTAACAGCAATGCCAAAACATTATCTGTTCTTGAGGCAGCAACCAATTCAATGGCCATTGCCCTTGAGAAGGGACCGTTTCAAAAAATCATTGTAATTGGACCGATTTAATGAGCTTGATGGGTTGCCAAAAGTCCCCAAATCAAGCAAGGCCTGCTCCTATCCTGACATTTATGACTTGACCCATGGACTTGAGTCATTATTGTGGAAAATAATAAGCATGACGTCTGTTCTATAACAGGATTTGATAATGGCTTCCAAATTATGAGGCCCAATGCCAATGCAAGTTTCAATAAAAAAAAAAATAGCTGCAAGAAACTGGTCTAGCACAAACAATGCTCTCATTTCAGTTGCAAGAGATTGTCCTCACTGTCCATAGCGTACAGTGTATTAATTTTGGGCTGGATGTAGAATGATCCCTCAGAAGGTTAAATGGTTACTGATATTAGGAGGAAGTTCTGCAAATAATAAAAAGTGTCCATAATTCATATTATTCCTCACCAATGACTCATATAATAGTTTTAATGGAAAAGGGGTTAAAGCAATGTTATCCTACATATATTAAATATTTAGTTTTTTAATGATTTTATATTCAAATTGGATTCTTCAATCACTTATTACAAATTAATTTTAAATTAATATCAGAGTCCACATTTTATTATATTATTCTTATATATTATTTGTATTTGTTATCTTTTATACTGGTTATGTGCTAAGCTTCTAACTTCCTTGTATGTAATGGGATCTTTTAATCTCTTTCAGGCATTGAGCACTAAATCTTCTCTAGTTCCATAATTGTAGCATTTCTAGGGCAAGAAATCTACCCTCAACAATGGTACAGACTAAAAACAAGCATAAATCATACACTTCTTTAAAATGTTCTCACTGAATAGAAGATTGGAATTAACCTTCCAATGCCTTAAGAATCTTACATTATCATTGAATAAACTTGTCAAAATGGGACAAAATGAACTTTCAAAATTATGTTCTGCATAGACTGACAGCTTAATTCCTTATACAAAAGCTGTTGGCTGCTGAGGGTGGAAGAAAGAACGTAAGAAACTGATCCCAGTTTCAACAACAGCAAAAAGCATTTAGCGTTGCTGTTAATGACTTGCAGAAGTAAGTTGATGATGTAAAGGTTGTGATTGCAAGGTCATTAGAGCAGAGAATGCCATCCTCAGTATTCACAGGGTTTAAATGGAAAGCTTATACTTTGTACATAGTCTAACATATGTGCATTCAACCAAAATTGGCACGGTTGAATTAATGGTGGATCTAAGATTTTTTTTTTTTTAGTGTTCACTTATAACATATAAAAAAAGTATTGACAAATTTATTCTTTTTTTTCGAAGCAAAAATTATATCTAGTCACAACCTTGACTGCACAACTTTTTCAAACTTTGGGACAAGAATTCTTCTGAAAATGAAATCAACTTTCAAAGTTCAAATTGGAATCTGTATTAACATATGTGTTAAGGGAAGACAGAAAGATCACTTCAAAGTTCAAACCGATTACATACCAAGAAAGAAAGTTTTGGATGATTTCAGTTTAATCTTCCATGTAGTAATAGTAAAATACATCACCATTTTTGGAGGGATTTTTGTTTTCCTGGTTTGGATGATTGTGCCACTGATGTTAGTATCACCATTAACAAATCTTAGAGGAAGAGAAGTTGATGGTAGCCCATCAAGCTGCACATGGCTATGGTGAATGGTAGTGTCAGCAGATAAATCAGTGTAGCATTGTCCTTCTAGCTACCAATATTAGCTGATTGTTGCAAATTCATTCCATCTGCATCTCTAAACTTCCTTTATTTGCTTTTGTAGAACAAAAGCTTCTGCAACTTGAACTGCGACCAACATCAATAATCAAATTAAACCTCCATGTATTTAAAAGATAACATGTATTAAAGTCAATCAAAGCTTAGTATGCTCCATTTCTCTTTCAATTATGTAAACATAGATAACATGTAAAAGTCTTGGAGAAAGAACTAACCTCTTCATAAACCTTTTCAGTCCCTTTATAGGCAAGAAAGCTAAATCCAGAGAGATCCAAAAGAGAATTTAACTCATCCTTTTAGATGAAAGAAGCATCCAACATTCCTGTATTTCCAGAAGCAGGATTAAAGGTTTCAAACTTTGATTTACTCATGTTCAAATCAAATGGAACAAAATATTGTTTAGATTCGATCTATACCTGATCTCAAACTTGAGTTAGCCTGCTGCTACAATCACCGTCTTTTCTTTTTGTCAAATCAGGCAGAGAAACAGATCAAGATGTACAGCAGACAAGGGTTTTCTGATCTATCAATCTGCATGGCAAAAACATAGTACTCATTTTTACAAAATGCCTCGGAGAAAGGATCGCCAAGTGTTTTTAACTTTACCAATAAGGGATGTGAGAGCCAGCATAGCAGCTGGGTTTATTTATCCTTTAGTTGGTACAATAAGCACAATGCCCAGGGCTACCCACAAGGCTTTGCTTCTATGAAATTGATATTGACACTGCCACTGCAAAGGTTATTGGTCTTTCATGAAGCTTTAATTGAAACCTCTCTAGCAGGTGTGATTCTCTAAGGTGCTTGCTGAGGCCTTCTCAAGGGCACGCATGCAGCAATTGAGCAACAACTCTATCTGTCATAGTTCTTGCAACCTCTGTTCCTTCACTTTTTCCAGTTGTCCTTTATGCTATTTTAACATAAATTGAACACTGCATTTCTAAACTTCCTTCATTTGCTTTTGTAGAACGAAAGCTTCTGCAACTTGAACAGCAACCAACATCAATAATCAAATTAAACCTCCATGTATTTAAAAGATAACATGTATTTAAGTCAATCAAAGCTCGGTATGCTCCATTTTTCTTTCAATTATGTAAATATAGATAACATTTAAAAGTCTTGGAGAAAGAACTAACCTTTTATACGCCAGAAAGCCGTATCCACAGAGAGATCCAAGAGAAATTTACCTCGTCCTTTTAGGTGAAAGGAGCATTCAATATTCCTGTATATCAAGAAGCAGGATTAATGGTTTGGAACTTTCATTTACTCATGTTCAAATCAGATGGAACAAAATATTGTTTAGATTTGAACCATACCTGATCTCTATCTTCAGTTAGCCTGCTATCAGAATCGCTGTGTTCACAGATTGTAATTTGTAAACCTTGCACACTGCCCACAAAATCAATTTCAAAACATCAAGATTACTTCAGATAATTTCTTCAAGATTTGAATTTCAGATGCAAATCATAATTATCGGCATCTCCATGCTACCAAATATCATATAGCAAGATATCAGTACTTGGTTACTAGCTACCTTCTAAGTGGTTTAACATGCTTGTAACCTGGATATATCATGTCTCCAAACAAAAAGGTACCCGCTTTTATTGACAGCTTTAAACAATGGCATGGATTAACTACAAAGAAAAACTCAACCAGGTAAGACGGTTTAATGGAAAAGAAGAGCAAAAGCATGGGTGTTTCTTTTAATTGTTGCATCAATGGTGTCACTTACTGATGCCCAGGTTCGATGTCACTGCTGGTACAGTATCTACATTTCTCAGACATCGAGGCACAGGCAGGGAAGCTTCTCCATAAAAGCATAAGCTCAATGCATCTGTACAGTTGTTCTAGTAAGAAACAATATAAGTGCTGCACTGCATGTTCTGGTAAGAAGCAGTATCTGTTATATACTGCCACTTACCATTTTTTATCTTCTTTAAGTTCCATGGTTCAAGTTTTATGACAATCTTATAAGATAAAAATGGAAAAAATTAGAAGTTTCATGTCAATATCTTAGAACTTGCAATCTATAGGTTAAACAACATGCAACAAGAACAAATACTCTTTCTCTGAGAAATAATCAAATGATATGAAAACATAGAAGAGTTTTTAAAATATCTATCAATTAAAGCAATTAATAATAAAGTTTTGTAATTTAACATGCAAATAAGAAGTACTTAGGGATAAAAGACCTTATCAAAGGTTTCAGAATTAGAAATCTTTGAATTTTACCATTGTATCAGAAAAAGTATTAATTCTGTTGGTAATTACTATCTTTTCCTCCCATCATCCATTTTCACACCTTGTTTCAATATGGCACAAGCTGCTAGACCTTCACTGAGCTGCAATTGGACTGAAGTTACTGAAATTGAAGTACAAAAAGAAGCTACAAATACTTAAATACCTGAACATTAAATAAAACTAGCTTCTTACCATCTACATTGTCTCGCACATTTTGCAACTTCCATGAATGCCTGTATTCCTTCTTTCCTAACTCAAAGTTGGGATGCAGGTCCTAATTAATGTCATTTCATGCTAGAAAAAGGATGAAAATCAAATTGAAAGGAAAGACAGACACCTGACAAAGATCTATGCGACAAGTGATATGGACTCCGCACATACCTGAAAAATGAACAATGATAATATTCGTATAAGTTTCAAAATGGTAGCAAGATGAACAAAAATGTTTTTTGAAATTTGAAATCTATTAGGAAGAAAGGGGAAATGCTTTTCCAAATTGAAATACCTAACATTAAGTATAAGCAAAGGATAATGTAACTTGTAACCCCTCATCCTTACCTTGACTTTTCAGATATTAGCAGCTTTCAATTTGACTTCTCTGGATCATAGATGAATATACAATCTATTTCATCTTTGAAATATATATCCAAATTTACTGAACTTTTGTATGCCACATGTAACATATGCAAGATTTGGTCACCAGCAACGCAAATTTCTCAAAATTGTTTTTTATATGCAATATCATAAATAATTGTGGACCAAAATCCTCCTAAAGTTCTAAGTTTTACAACTATTCCAATGCATTTCCAAATTGTCATACCTGGGACATCCTCTAACTGATTTTAGTCAAATTCGTCTTGATAACATATGAAACTATCATCAATTTGGAAAAGAACACGTGGACAATGTTGAAACACTCTTGTTCTTTATCACCTTCCTTTGCACCATTCTGTTAGCAATGTACAATTATAAATATATAAATAATGAAGGTTATTAAAAGTGGTGTAAAAGAGAAGAATAAAAAGGAATTTTTAACTTCCATACTTAGGTTTCATTACAAATATGGAAGAAGTTATACTCTTTACTTGTGCCATTTTCTTCTTGATGAGATGAAATGATTGTTTTTTTTCCACCTTCAAGTAATAGATGAATCTTTTATCCATGTATTCATAGATGATAGGCCGTTATTTCACAATTGAGCACAGGAACGCTGCAAGAACAAATAATGAGGGCGTCTTAAAATGTTGCAGTGATGGATCATAACTCCCAATAATTACATGTCCAATAGCTATAGAAGAAACTAAAACATGTAAAATTATCCCAAAAAAATTGTTAACGTGAAAAAATTATTGTTTTCAAAAAGACATACCTGGATTTTCTGATTCTTTTCAATAAAATGAAAGAACCTTTAGTTATACTAGTCCGGAACTATTGATTAAAGAAGATGAGTTCAAGTTTCCAGATGCAACCAATGTCATTTTCACAACTGCAGCTATGGTCTCACAGGTCATTCAACCTTCCAGACATCCATAGTTGGCAGGTCCTACAAAAACCAAATAGACTAAATCACAGTTTAAAAGAAGGATAACAATGGCATGGTTAACTTGACCAGCCTCTACTTTCGTATTTTCAATTCAACGATTAATATGATAAAAACAAATTTGCTAATGCTCCAAAATAGTAAATATTTAGATTGAACATAGAAATAAAACTTGTGTCAATGCTCCAAACTACTTGTGTTATCAAAATTGGTAGGTTTTTGCGGCAAAGGTGTCAATTTAATGCCAACGTATGGATAGTTTGCCATGAAAAGATTTTATTTATAGAAAAAAAAAATCACTTACTTACCCAAAAATACCAAAGAAAATTCATAAACCTCTGCTCCATATAACATCCAGCACCAAGGAGACCTATGTGAAATCCCTTTCTGCAACTTCAATCTTTACACTCAACAGACAACAAGCATTTTGTAGATAAGGTCGTGGTTAGTATCATATCCTGCGAAAATAACCAAAAATCTCAATTTTTTTTGAATTAATGCAAAAAAAATCGAAGGACCATGAACCTAAAAATAATTAAATGCCTCAAGATTAATAAAATAAAATTGAAAGTGTTTTCCTTTATCTTTAGTGTATAAATTTGAATTTGTAAGGAACATTATAATAATTAAAAAATTTTGTAAGGGTTTATAATAAATTTGAAATTGACTTACCTGCGACTTTGAGTCCTTAACTCTTTTCTTGTCAACTTTGCTGTTCTGAAGAATTATTGTCTGAACCCTTATCCTCCGAAACAGAATTAGCCGGAATCATAGATGTATCTGTTATCAATTTTCACACAAGGTATATGGGCAATCTTGAACCACTCTGATCCTTTATCCTTTTCACACCGTTCTTTTAGCACTGGACAACCCCAGATATCTAGCTGCAAAAGCGAAGAAAGCATCTTCTTTTCCGGGAGACACTTGAGGTTTGGGCAAAAATCGATGTACAAGAACTCCAGAGAGGTGAGGTCCTGAAAGCCCATGGAGGTTAGGGTTTCTAGTTTTGGGAAATTGCTGATGACGAGAGAGGTGAGAGAGCAGGGCAGCGTCATTCCTATCTCTTCTTGTGGAAACAACACTGCATCGGGACATCCATTTTCTATACAGAGAGATTTAAGAGAAGTGAGTCTATGCAATCCCCAATCAATTAGTGGCTTACAAATATTGGGTCCTTTGATGGTAAGTCTTTTGAGATTAGTAGGAATGCCCTCTTCTGGGAAGGATGTCAGACTTGAGCAATTTTCTATTTCTAGTTGTTCTAGACAGCTGAGGTTGTGTATACTGTCGGGCAGAGCTTGGAGTTTTTCACAGGAACTGAGGCGGAGGACTTTGAGGTTTGAGGTGGGCAAACCACTTTCTGGAAAGGAAACCAAATTTGAACAAGCATATAAGGCTATGGACTGGAGATGGCTGAGCTTGTTCAGGCCTTGAGGTAAATACTTAATACTACACCCAAGGATCCTAATACTTTCAAGAGAAGAGTTATCTTGAATTTCTTGAGCTATGAACTCTAGCTTTTCACAACTGACTATTGACAGTCGTTCAAGCCTCCTGGGTAACTTCTCTCTTGATGATAAAGATACCAGAGATGGACAATCGTTAACATACAACGTCTCAAGAAGACCTGCATTGCTGAGGTTAACATTCTCTCCCTCTTCCAACAAACACCGTAAATTTTTAAAATGAATAATCTCTAGGCTTTTGAGATTCGAAGGCAAATTGTTGTTTGAAAGAGAAATCAGAGATGGACAACTGCTAACAGACAACCGTTCAAGAAGACATGCACTGCTGAGGTTAACATTCTCTCCCTCTTCCAACAAACACCGTAAATTTTCACAATCACTAATGTCTAGGGTTTTTAGATTCGAAGGCAATTTGTTGTTTGAAAAGAGAAATCAGATTTGGGCAAGACCTAAGCTTTAGCACCCTAGGCGATGAGACATAGTTCAAGGTTGTTGATAGCTTTTCTAACCTTTCACAATTCCTTATTGTCAGTTTTGAATGGTGTCAAGGGATCTTCAAATGTCATCAATTCTTCTCTTTTCTCCCTCTTGCCCCTATGGAGACAAGTTGCGACCACTTTCCAATCTCAATTCAATCCAAGTGACATCGACTGAGTTAGCAATCCCCACTGTTCCTTGCAAAGAGCCAATTCCTGCACAATCTTCGATCTTAAGGATTCCACTTTTATTGATCCTAACGTCAACCCATTCTGCTGCACAAGTAAACTTTGGGAATTCCTGAAAAACATACCCTTTTTAATGAGCTGCCGTCTACAAAACCTTTATACACTACCTCCTGGCACCCTTGAACATTCAATTCTGAAAGCATTGGAAGGTTTTGAATTGAAATCACCAATTTCTCACAATCACAAATCACAAGTTTCTCCAACGAAAGGAGATTTTCTGGTATACTCCCCAACAGTTCCGGACAATTCACAATACGAAGCTCACGAAGATTAGAAAACTTCTTAGCTTCCTCATTAACTTCACGAAAGTTCCAATTCTCCCATTTAGGCATGTTTTCAAATTCTAAAGTCTCCAATGAAGGAAATGCATTTGATGCATTCTTTCCAAATAACTCAGCCCCCACACTAGTTACATTGTCCAATCCCTTGATGCATAATTTTTTCAACAATGGCAATTGCCCAATTGATGGCAATGATGTGCAATTTGGACAATATTCAAGACATAAAGATAGTAATTTATTGAATGAAGAATCTCCTATCCATTCCACCAACCTCACACCATAATAGCACTTGAGGCGAAGCTCCTTAAGTTTTTCTGAAGGACGAAGCAAATGCAACACTTCTGTCTCGATTACTCCATTTCTATTCCCAAAGTCTTAACTCCACATCAATTCTAACTTATCCAGTCCTGATTTCTCATGTAACTTAGCCTTCAATGCATCTTGAGTTTCAACCACATTCTCCAACCCTGAAATACAAAGTTGACCCTTGAGATTTGATAAACCATCTAGCTCCCTTATTTGACATCCTTTGCCCTTTTGCAAAACAAAATTGGATAGTGTTTGAAGATCACTTAGCGTGCAAATATTACTTGGCATGCCTTCTAATTTATTTGCACCTGTGATATCAAGATAACATAGGTTGACTAGGTTTTCCATATCTGAAGGTAGCTTTTCAAGCATCTCACACTCCCTTAATAGAAGGGTTTCTAAATTATAGAGGGTACTTACGGACTCCGGCAAGCATTTAATATGAGTGCGAGAAAAATCTAGGTACCGTAAGTGTTTTAAATCTCCAATAAAATCTGACAACTTCGAGATTTGATACCCTCTCAAAGAAAGCACCCTTAGGCATCCCAAAATTGGCAACAAATGTGTTAGAACATTATTGGTTACAAAGCAACTCCAATAATTTGACAGCCTAAATGGCAAAAAAGTACGTAAATGCTGCGCTTCTTTGATGCCCTTAAATTTTTTGATGCCATCATACCGACCACCAATGTAAGACAAGTGGCGAGCGTGCTTTGAAATTTGCTGATTACCCTCTATTCTGAAGCATATTTCTCCGGCAACTGATTGAGCCAAATCATTGATGAGGTCATGCATAACAAATCGAGATCTATCTTTGTTTGATATTTGCAAAAGAGACCTTGATACCAGATCTCTAAAATACTTGTGGCCTAGATCTTCAATGCTATGCTTATCTCTTGCTTCTTGTAAAAAGCCCTCTGCCCTCCATAACAAGATTATTTCTCTCTCTTGAAATTCATAGTCCTTAGGAAGAATGGAGCAATATGCGAAGCACCGCTTCAAATGTGGAGGAAGATGATGGTAACTCAATTGGAGAGCCGGAATTATGTCAAACCGATGGTCTGATAGCTTCCATATCTCACTCTCCAATATTTTCCCCCAAGCATCAGGGTCAATATCAGTACGAGCCAAGCCTCCAAGGGTTTTAGCAGCCAAAGGCAAGCCTTTACACTTTCTCACTATTTTCTTAGCAACTTCTTTTAGATTTGGATGTCCTTCAAATCCCTTTGCTCCCAATGCATGTTGAGCAAATACAGACAAACAATCATCTTCTGACAAAACTTCCAAAGAATGAGCAAAAGAAGCACCCATTGCAGATGAAACATCAAGACTTCTTGTTGTCACGATAATTTTGCTTGCCGGAGTCCTTGCTAGAAAAGGAGATTGTAAAATCGTCCAGTCATGATAATTCTCATTCCAGACATCATCCAAAACAATCAAAAAATTTTTCCCTGACAACTTATTCTTCAATTTTTCTTGAAGAGAATTCAAATCATTGTCATTACATGGCTCTGAACTGACTGCTTGGAAAATTGCTTTTGTTATTCTTGTGACATCAAAATCATCAGAAACACAAACTCATGCTTTGAGATCAAAATGATCGTGAACGGTAGCATCATTGTAAACAAGTTGGGCCAAGGTTGTCTTACCGATCCCTCCCATTCCAACGATGGGAATCACAAATTTTCCGTCATCATCACCGTTGAAGACCAATTCAAGTATTGTCTTCTTGTCTTTGTCTCTGCCATACACCTGAGTTTCGATCTCCAGAGAAGTAGGCTGCTGCCTTTCTTTTATTCTGTTGGATTTCGAGCAGTGAATCATTCTCAGTTGCAGCTTATTTTTTTGAGGCTCTAAATCTTTCAATCTGGAAGTGATATCTTTTACCTTTGACATCATGTCACTGTTACAGAAAACATCGTTGAATGTATCAAGTCTGGGCTTCTTACTTGAGCTACCATGACGTTCCAACTTCAAATTGCGCTTGGCAATTTCGGTTTCAACCTCGTCCACAATGTCATCCACATCGTATGCCATGTTTTGGAGGTCTGACAACCAAATTTTCACAGATTGATCTTTGATCTGCCTCTCCTCAGCATCATCAAGCAACGCACGAATCTCCAGCAATTCCTTCTTCAACTTCTCAAGCTCCTCTTGAATCTGCTTTTCACTGGCAAATTGAAAGAATTCAAAGGAACCCAACTTGTCTAGGAGATAGTCAAAGAACTTGGAGAGAGCAACTTCTCGTATAGCGGACAAGGCTTCGCTAAACAAAGACATGGTTGGATTGCGTAGTTGGAAGAAATTAGGGGAAGAAATAAGATTGGAGGAAGCTGAGAAAAGAGTTTGAGCTAGCAGTAAGTAATGAAGCTGGGTAAAGATGAATTGTTTGTATTAGATGATTTTTGTTCTCTTTCCTTCTTTTGCTGATTGATTTACGGAATCTTTTACAAGTCAATATTGGACCCACATTAATTTTTTGAACGCACTTGCACTAGGGTTTTAAATGCAGTATCAATGACAGTGGTGTAAAATAATGTCTGAGTTTGAATAATTGAGATGGACAATGCAAATTTGTCCCAACTCGTTCGTCTCCATGTGAAGGAGGAACCTCACTCCCGTTCAAAAATAATAATATAATAAATAAATTAAAGAACCTCACTTTTTTTCAAGAATACTCGTGTCAGATGGTAACTACCAGAATTGAAATACTTTGAAAATTAGCTGTGTGAGAGTCGCTTTCCTGGAAAACAGAAAAGGGTTAATATTTTTTTAGTTATAAAAAAAAAAAAATAGACTTGGGTCATACTAACACGTGGAGCCTTCGACTATTATTTTTTTAAAAAATATTTGTTATGTTTTATTTTTATGGAGTTAAAATTTTTTTTTAATTTTAATATATTTAATATTAAATTTTAAATTTTTTTATAAAATTAAAGTTTTATGATTTTTAATATCAAAAATAAAAAAATCATAAAAATAATTTTAAAATATAAAAATAAAAATTTTAGATATTTAAAACATATATAACATAATTTTGAAACATCTAAAAACTTGAAAAAAAAATTATAAGAAGTACTTTTAAAAAATCCAACTACCATGTGAGGGATTTCATTATATTTTATAATATATTTTTCCTACTCAATTTTGTTTTGTTATTGACATTTTAATTAAATTAACTCGATTTTGATTATTTTTATTAAAAATTATAAATTTGAGTTTCAAAATTTTTAAAATATATTTAAAAAAACTTTGATTGAATATAATGTTTTTAAAAAAAATTTTAAAATTAAATTTATTTAACCAAAAAATCAATAAGAAACATACAAATAAAATCGAAGGAGAAAAAATCACGATGACTATTGTATCTTCAAATTGGCATCCCATTATCGAACTAAACTAACCTAAAATAATGAGGTGACCTTTGGTATCTTAATTATAATGGATTTAATTTTTACATTTTTATTACCAATAAAATCATTTTAAAAATAATTGCTAAAAATGTTCAAAATTTTTCACCATATAATCACGTACCATTTTTATGGAATGATATGTCAAAAGATTTTGGGAATCTTTTGCCTTTAGAACTTACACAGTAGTACTAACTCATTGTTTTTAATAATTGAGTTGAACAGCTTGAATTTGTCCTGACTCACTGGTAGGGTTGAAAAAAAATTAATTTAAAATTATAATATTTAATTTGATTTGGATATTTTTATTTAATTTTAATTTAATTTAGATATTACATATATATTAGATTTGTGTTGAATTTTGAATAAAACATAAAAATTAAAAAAATTTGACCTCAATTATAAATTTTTATTAATTTTTATATATTTTAAATTTTTATAAAATAAAATAATTATTTTATATTTAAATTTATTTAAATATTTTACAAATCATATTAAAATAATATATGAAAAATTTAAAAATTAAATAATAATAATAATAAATCAAATTAAACAATTAAAATTTTAATTGAATTCAAATCAAATTTTAAAAAATTCTAATTTTATATATTACCTTAAAAAAAATCAGATCAATTCTAATCCAGTCAAAATTGTTACCATTTCTAGTAATTCATTTTTCAAGAGAACCCTATAAAATGGAACAAAGAATAAGAACACTTTAAACAACAAAACCAATATGGACACACGCTATTTTGGGCTAATTAGTTATTTGATATTTAAATTATATTATTTTATTAATTTTAACATTTTAAAAAAATTTGTTATCAAATAAGCAGATTTCACTTTCTTTAAACATTATTTTCCCTTTCTAAGAGAGTTGGAGGAAAATTTTTTATGCAATAATATTGGCATATAAATTGACTGTTCTTGGTTCTCTTCTAAAAAAAAATGTATTCTTTATGAATCAGCATTTTCTGGTTAGGTTTAATTGACTGAGACTTAAACTAGTTTGCTTACGTAAACCGATCCGTCCGTTTGTCGGTGAAGCTTAATTTTAGTTGGGTCTCCTTCTTCTAACCAGTTGTTTTGGGAATCGTTTTACTTTTATAACAGGACCTACAGAAGTACGTGTAATAATAATGTCTGGTTGAACTGACATTTATTTTTGAATAATTGAGTTGAACAATTCAAATTTGTCCTAGCTCACTCGTCTCCATATAAAAAAATATTAATAATAAATAAAATAAAAGACTTCACTATTTTTTTTTTTAAGAGAACGTATAAAATAGAGAAAACAAATATATCAAGTTATGAAAACTTAAGAGAAGAAAACGAATATTGACATTATTTGTTTTTGTTAATTAGTAATTTGATATTTAAATTATATTATTTAGGTCAATTTAGAAATTATAAAATAACAATTTAATCAAAATTATATTATTATAAAAATTGATAATAAAAAAGTAAATTTTGTCTTATCATTTTATCAAAAAATTAATTTAAAACTAAAATAAAATAAAAAGTAACAATTAAAACTAAAAAATATAAAATTAAAATAAATCATTAATTTTTTACAAGCCTATTTTTTTATTAAATTCTTTAGTTTGAAATTTAAAAAGTAAAATAAATCAAAATTTAAAGCCATCTTATTTC